TGGAATACTATAAAGGTTAAAAAATGAGGTCTCTCAGTATATTACAATCATTAACTATTGCTTAAAAGGAACAAAATATGATTTATATCTGTATTCTATATTCATATGTAACTGGGAGGATACATAAGCTAATAACGATGGCTTTATGTGGGGGAGGGTTAGGAAACTGGGTAGATGGAAAATAAGAATGGTAGCATTTTTACTAAGATAACTTGAATAATAAATAAATGATTTATTTCTTAAAATCAAAAGAAAATTTTTCAAAAAAAGAGAATTTATTACATATCTATTATGTAGAAGAATACATTTCTGTTAGATGTTAGGAAAACAGAAATGTCATAGAGGACATCTACCTGCCCTTGGGAAGAGGACAGTTAATCTTCTGGAACAGAATGCCTACATAAGAAACAATCTGAAAATTATCAAGAAGCATTGAATATTATGGAACAGATTAAAAATGCACGTGCTAAGGATATGTGGAGAAAAACATGGGGGTAGATTATTTTATGTGGAGAAAAGAAGAAATGTGGGTAGGTTCTTTATGAACGAGGCAGAGTCCATGGGTTTGCTGAAAGAAAGGTGGAGGAAGTGGCATGACTAACAGTATGGAGTGGACCCTAGGAAACGGAGTTCAGAATACGGTTGATAAACATTCCTGGCTAGAACGGGAGTGGCTGTGTGTCACAGCTATCTTCAGAAGGCATCGCGGATTCTGGAATGGTCCCAAAAAAGAAACGTAGAAACTGTTTTTCCCTGATATTCTGATACACTATTTCTAAATACATAGTGTCATTCTCATATGGGTGGGGAAAAGATTGAAATAAAATCAAGTGGAGACTTTGCACTGAGTTTAAAATGGAAAAATGGTTTTGTGCACTTTGATGGCTCTTATTAAAGGAAATTAATCCTTTTGACTGACATCTGTATTTCTACTTGATTAAAGTAGTTTGGATTTCACACCAGAAATCAACACTTTCCTCTTCTTCATTTTTGCAGAGTTTGAAAATTTTGCGGAACATGAAAAAGAGTAAGCTTCTTTATACTTATTTTTTAGAATATGTATACTACTTTCATGATTATTTAATTCTTCCTTATATAACCACTCTATGAAAAGTTAATATTATTCCTAAACAGGAGCTTCCTTGGGTCCTATGGGTCAGATCACCCCCAAACATTGCACTGTGCTGGGCTCCACAGTGATAATATAATACTGAGTACGGACTGAAGGGTTGGGCGGGGGTATGGAATAATGGAATGATGTTTGTCACTTTCTACTCATCCTAAGATGCTGGCACCCAAGTGTGTTATTTAAAATTCCCAGCAGTCTAACCTCAGATGTATTTTCTTTGAAAACAGTCACAGCAAAGCATATTGTGAAACAAATGTGTTGATTTAATAAAGTAAGCAAAGTATTGAGTCATTTCTATTTTTACCAAGTATTATTAGCAATAGTCTGTTGCTTACTACTTTTGCTATATTGTAATGAAAACAAACTCAAAGACTCCTGAAACGGTGGGAATTTGATTATCTTAGAAATCCTTATTTATAACTATAAAGTATATAAAACATGGTGATACAATTGTTGTTTATATATATGTATATATTTATTGACTTCAGAGAGGAAGGGAGAGGGAGAGAGAGATAGAAACGTCAATAATGAGAGAGAATCATTGATTGGCTGCCTCCTGCACACCCCACACTATGGATCAAGCGCGTAACACAGGCGATTGAACTGTGACCTCCTGGTTCATAGATCGATGCTCAACCACTGAGCCACGCTGGCTGAGCGATGGTGATACAGTTTTACAAATTTGATCAATTTGGTTCATCATCAAGGACCAAACAGCTGGTTGGTATTTTAGGGAGGACAAAATACTGAGAAAACTTGATGTAAGGTATTATCCAAGTGAGAAGGTTGATAGCTGAATCTTACTCTTTTCTCCTGAGTTTTCACTCTATCTTTCCATAAACTTGCGCCAGTCTGCTCTCATTGCCACCACACTTGATCTCCGAAATGAACTGATTTCTCACCTATGATGACTAAGTATAATGGAAAAGTAAGATGGCTAAAGCCAGTCAAAAGAGAATTTAAGCATTTCAAGAGGAGGAAATTATAGTATAAAACAGAATTAAAGAGCTTAAAAAAAAAGCAATGAGTGACTTGAATAGCCAAAGATTGATCAATTTAGCTTACGAAATACACAGGTTTTTCTAAAAGAACATATCAGCCCGGCTGGTGTGGCTCAGTGGTTGAGCATCAACCTAGGAACCAGGAGGTCTTGGTCAAATTCCCAGTCAAGGCACATGCCTGGGTTGCAGGCTTGATCCCAGTGGGGGACTTGCAGGAGGCGGCTAATAGATGATTCTCTATCATCATTGATGTTTCTGTCTCCATTGTCAGTGCCTAGCCCAATGCTTGGCATATAGTAAGTATTCAATAAATACATTTTTAATTGAATCTGACTGAAATTCAGTACGTACTTTAGTGATTCATACTCAAGTACTTCCATGAATGGGGAGATGTTTCTAGAATCCTAGTATTAGGTATGTGTGCATGAACATACACAGTCCTAACACTGTATTCTGAAAATGTTGAAAACAACAAAAAATGACTATTTGATAATTTCTCCCCAGTTATATGCTGCCTCTTAGAAAGTTTATACAAACCTGAAATTATCTTTTTTCACTGCTAGACAGTGCTCCCGCAAAATGTGGGACATGTTTTCACTGGATTGCTTTCAAAATTGGGCAAAAACTGATACCTCAGTATTAAGGTTCTTGGAAGAGAAACACTATATATTTTAAGCCTCCCAAAAAGTGGCTAAATGGCAAAGCAAAGAAGCATAGTGCTTTGGGGAGATGAGATTCTGGGCCTAACTAGAATCATCTATCATGGGAAAAAGGCAGACTGGAAAGTGAAGAAAGATATTACAGGAGTAGAGGATAGTGTAAGAAAAATCACAGGCTTTGCCATGGATGATCTAGTGTGGAGAACAAATGATTTGAGTAAGGGTGTGCATGGTGATGGGTGGTGAACACACAATAGAATATACAGATGATGTATTATAGAATTTACCCCTGAATCCTATACAACCTTATTAGTCAATGTCATCGCAATAGATTCAATAAAAAGGTAAAAATTTATCTCAGTTTGTCTTTATTCTTTCCCTCACATTTTTTTCTTTTCATTCTAGGTCTCTGTACTTCTTCCTCACCAAACAAGCCTGCAGACTCTGTTCAGTCAAGTAACTCCAGCTCCTTGCTAAATTTTGGTATGTGTGTTATTTTACAGCACAGTTTATGTTTACCTAAAGTATTCTTTTATAGTATAAGAGATACAACTTTAAATAGGATTTGAGGTTGCATGTATAGGTCCTTATATTTATATTCTCTTTCATGCAATTTATCTTTTTATTTTTGACCCAGCTACCGCTTAACATCTTACATACCACTATGTATTCTATTACATGGATTTGCCTAGCATATGCTAGGTAACCAAATGGTTCAGATGTAAGCAACACATGAATTAGGATGTGTCAGGCATTGTGCTGGATGCTTTAATAAATATCTCACTGATGCTTTCAGCAGTTCTGCAGGGCCTACCCACAATTTTGCAAGATGATGATGCAATGAAAGGTTCAGGAACATCTTCAAGCTTATCATTCTCTGTTCTCCTTTTGTATTTCAAATCTTTCATTGCTCACTTTGCACTCCTAAAGCTGCTAAGTGTAAGAGAACCTTGAAAATATCCTTCATCAAAGAAAAGAGAAGTCATATGTTGCTGAAGTGATAAAGAACCAACTGTCATTACTCTTCATATATTTTGAAAGGATGAAGAAAAAGCCATCATTGGTTGTGCAACATTTTTGCATTGTCCTTCTTGGGATAGGTGAGGGGGGAGTGTTTGAGGGAGAGATATAAATGATTAGCTACATACTTAGTTCTCCAGGATTGTTTATTACTTTATTTTTTCTAAGCTTTTCAAACATAAGCTCTCAGTAAATGGAGGGCTTTCTGGACTGAAGCAGAAGCATAAATGAATTTAATACAATCTATATGTATAAAAGCCTATGCAACCGAATGACCGAATGCCCGGATGACTGAACAACCAAACGACTGGTCAACTGGTCGCTATGACATACACTGACCACCAGGGGGAAGACACTCAATGCAGGAGCTGCCCCCTGGTGGTCAGCGCGCTCCCATAGCCAACCTCCCGTGGCCCATCGCCCCGGTCCGCCCCAATGGCCCTGATCAGGTTGGCTGGCCTACCTCCCATGGCCCCGATTGGCCCTGATTGCTGGCCAGGCCAAGGGACCCCAGCCATTCATGAATTTGTGCACTGGGCCTCTAGTAATCTTATAAAGCAACTAGAGGCCCGGTGCACAAAATTCATGCACTGGAGGGGCCCCTCAGCCCAGCCTGCGCCCCCTCACAGTCCAGGGCTCTTGCAGTCTGGGACACCTCGCTCCTTACTGCCCGCCTGCTGCTCCTTAGTGCTGCTGCACTACTAAAGACTATTATACCAGGTTTCTTTATCTAATTATTCCATTATTAAATTTGTAAGTGTTCTGCAAATATAAAGTGCTATTAGCATTCTATTGTTATCATTTCAGCATTAACTTAATTACTGTTTTGCCTTTACAATCTATTACTAAATTGATCAAAGATGCTGCCTAACCTTTAAAAAAAATCCATGTGTTTGAATATGTCATAACATACTCTAAAATCCATGTATTCATATTTATATAAAAAACTTTTTTCAGTTTTATTTTAAAAATTTGTACTTTTTCAATAACAGTTGGTATACAATATTATATTAATTTCAGGTGTACAACATAGTGATTAGAAAAGTAATCAGCTGGGTAAGTCCTATCTGACACTATACATAGTAATTAAATTATTATCGACGATATTCCCTTATCCTTAGAACATGATCACCTAGGTAAGTCCCATCTGACACCACACATAGTTATTAAATTATTATTGCCTCTATTCTATATCCCCATGACTATTTTTTATTGGCAATTTGTACATATTAATCCTTTCCCCCTTTTCACTCTCAGCTTTATTTTTGTTCCCAGGTTTTGCAAATCGTTTTTCAAAACCCAAAGGACCAAGGAACCCACCATCAAATTGGAATATTTAACAGAACTGTGGACTATAGACTGCAAGTGCACCTGCAAAGAAAAATTACCAGAACACAGCTAGCTACAGTAAAGTGCTCTAGATTCGTAATGTCAACAGTGCAGATGTGGTAATGTGGTAACAGCTCTTAAGAAAAGCAATGCACAATGAAGTGCCAAAAATTTTACATTGAATCTCACTTACATTGGGTTGGAAACAGCAGAGAAAGTTTGCCACTTCAGCCACAGGAGAAAGAGTTTGGGAATGGATTTTTTTCATTTTTGGAAGTTATTTATATTTGACTTTACTTTTCACATAAATATAAACTTGAAGGATTGGTAAGAATTGGATCTCAATTAAATGTCTACATTGCCAGAATTTACTTTAATTTTTTTTTTAAAAACCTTATCTTGTGGTTGAAATACAAAATTACTGCTTATGACAATGACTGTCCCCTGGGAGTTATTTTTGCCTAAATGGAGTATATCTTGAACATCTTCCCAAATGTTGTGGGAAACCAGAATAGTAAGAAAAGAAGTTATATTTAAGAGAATAAAATATGTAAAAAATGACTGTAATCTTTTTATTTATATATATCAACTAACCAGATGTTCAATTACATCCCTGATAAGTTTTAACCAAAGTTACTCAATTACCAAATCTAGAATGATTAACAAAATAGCTATCGTTTGGTAGCATTTTCTTCATTTCACAGGTTCTGTGTAAACGTGTGCAACCTACAGCCAATCAGAAGCACGACTAAAGTGTTTTTTTTTCTAAATGAGTATGGACCTGACATATTTTAAGGGTATCTGATCTTTCCAATCTAATTTTATGTAACAAATGTTAGAAAGGATTCTCCAGAGTTCTCCGAAATGATTTAACTGCTTTTAATTTTTTTTTAAAAAGTCTGTGGCTTCTAGAAGCATGGGATACGTAGTATTTTCACTGGGAAGCCCAGTAAGGCGACATGTCACCTGTCACGGCAGCGCAGTGAACACAGTAGGCGCTCAGCAAGCTTGTATTTCAGTGAGCTCAATGGAGTGTGGCATCGAACCACCGGCTTCTATCTGCGTGCTTCACCGTAACCAACTAACCCCAATACCCTCACCAAGGACCAAATATGCTAAAAGAATCCTAGGTGCAATCTCAAGTGACTATGAAATTGTCCATCAGTTTCTGAACGGAAGCCTTGGTGAACAGGCGATTTGGGGAGTTTTCTCCGATAGGCACACATCTCAGATTTATGCAACCTTATACTTAGGATGTGAAACACCTTAAACATTAAAAACCCTTTTCCATCTAGAATTTCCCCGTAACTGCAGGAATGTGTTCAAAATAGCGATGGACTCAGCCTTCCCAGGCGCTGGGGGAGGTGGGCG